CTGGCAAGCAGATTAACTCTCCACCTTCATCGCGAGAGTAGCTAGCATGTGTTGATGAGCATAGCATAGTGATGGAGAGAGCAATGGAGAGGATGGGGACTGAAGCGTCTCTTCGGAATTAGATAAGCAGTCAGATCAGGTTTTTATTGCCGAAGAAGTATAATCCGATGCGCGGGATATATGTTGCACGCCTTACTGACAACTGGTGAACATCGGCTTATGATGATAAGGTACATTGAGCAGACATTGGGTACTTACCGGAGGCATGGAATAGAAGGGGCCATAGAAGGGCGAACCAAAATTGGACGGTCCAAGTAGGGCCGAAGAAGAGAGTGAAATTGTCAAGTGGTTGTTTACGGCCGTTGGTAGGCCGAACCATAGATGTCAGCACTGAGGAGCTTGATAGTGGCTGCATTTGGCACGTGGAAGCACTTCGGTAACATCTCTAACATGGCATCTTTAAACCGGTTATCTGCACGACTTTATCTTTTTTTTTTTATTATAAATCCATGGTATTTTTTTTTAAATCGAAGACGGGAAAAGAGTTTTTGTCATGTTTTCGGTGTTATATTCAACGCTTTTATCGTTGTTCTGCTTCTAATTATACAGATGAAAGCAGTTTCTGAACGTGTGCTTTGTTTTAGGGAACTCGTGGCAGAGGTACTGAAATAGCAGGCAAAGATATCGGAAACCCAACATCCTTCATTCGAGCTAGTGTTGACATGTTAAAATATCTCGGGTTAGATGGATATGCAAATCTCATCAGTGACTCGCTGTTCATGGCACTTACGGTTCGGCGTATTCATACTGCTGATGTTGGAGGTATGTTTGTTTGTTATTTCTTTTTGACGAAAAAAATCTTGGCTGGTTATGCAAGCTTGTATGTCAGCTTTATAAAAATGTATTGGTTTGTAATATAAAACAACAATATGTCTGAAAGCCCTGGCACATGCAGTCGTACAAACTAGAAGGATAAGATTTTACAGGCATGGGCTCTAAGATC